CCCCCCCCCCCCCCCCCCCCCCCCCCCCCCCCCCCCCCCTCCTCCCCCTCTCTCCCCCGGGTCTGTCACCCGATATCTCGACGATTTGGAATCTGAAGGGGTGGAGGCCGAGGACGAAGAAGAGGAGGAGGATGAAGAGGAGGAGGAGGAAATGGAGGAGGAGGAAGAGCAGGGGGAGGAGGAGGAAGAGGAAGAGGAGATTGGTCTAAGGCCTCTGTACGGGGTCGTGGATGGCCAGTTCCAGTCGGAATACATCAACAAAGCATATGAAGACGATGGCTCAGCACCCGAATCTCCAGGCAGTAAGGAGATCCGGCCACTGTCGGAATGTCGGGATCTGGGTACCTCTTCCCCGGGAAAAGGGAAGCCTTTTTTCTCCTCAGACGAGGACTATGTGGATTGCGATGAAGAGCATGCCAGCCCGTTTTTGTGCGAGCAGTTTTCAGGGGATAGTATTTCCGGATCAACTCAGCGCAGGATCTCTGCCTCATCCCCCAAAGATGAACAGATTTCCCCTGGGAAGAAACTAAGGAAATCAGCTGGATATCCTACCACTAGCACGACGGAACCCTCAGATATGCAGACCAAGATTCCACACAAACACAAGGTTCAGCCTAGCAAGTCTAGTAAGCCTCATTCCCTCTCGCTTGCCCCCCCAATGCAAACACTGTCAAAGGGCGACAAAGCCAGGGGAACTGTGGATGAGCTGACAGTTCCATTGATTATCACACATTCCTCTCACGGGACGATGGTCCTAACTAAGACACAATCGGACGAATCTCTGGTTCTTCCGTCCTTTCACTCAACTGGCCCAACTGTGGATTCCCAGGTGATTGAGAGGACAGAGAAGCAGATATTACAGGGTCATGCGTCATGCAGGATTTTGCCCAAGCCTAAGACGGACAGGTATATCGTGACCAACTCCAAGGGAGGGAAAACGATTCTGCATTTTCGCTTCCTGGCTCTGAGAATCGAACATTTATCTCTACTAAACCTCAAAGCCCAGGAAATACACTGGATGTCACTGTCTCACTTTCTGGACGTTGGGATAGATACCCTCAGAGATATCACCATCTCTAGGGAGATCTCTGCACTCAGCGTGGCGCAGTGGCTTACACAAACTGATCAGTTGGATTTTGTTTTTTCTCCTGCCTTTGCGGAAAGCCTAAAGGTACATCAATCCCCGCATGGGCCAGGAGAGGTAAAGAAAAGCCTCCCTGCCCTCAAGGTTCATAAGAAGAAGAAATCCTCTCAGCCCCGCATCCAACCTACACGCGGCATGGGCCTAACCAATGGTCCTGCCAGAAAGAGTTAGAATCGCAACTTGGAATGTGCGAGGCTTAGGGGATACAGCAAAAAGGCCCAGAGTGAAGAGTTGGTGTCATACGAATAGGATAGAAATCCTATGCCTGCAATGACGTTAAGCTTTCCAACCTACAGCAATGGTGGGAGGGCCCGCAGGTCTGGTCCCCAGCAGTTGGATCGAAGGGTGGCGTTGCCATCCTAATAAACAAAGATCTTGATATTGATATATTGGACAGCTATCATGATAGGGAAGGGCGATGGGCTTGGATTAAGTTTGAAATAGACAATGAGGAGTGGGCTGTTATGTCTGTATATGCACCTGTTATTTTCCCAGACAGAATTGACTTCTTCTCAAATATGCCCGCTTGTATACCGGACACGGAAAATCTGATATTAGCGGGAGACTGGAACGCTATATTCAATCCTGGGTTAGACTCGCTCAAGGTCTCTGCCATCAGGCAAGACTCAGTAATTCTCACGGAATTGTGTGAGTCTCAGAACTTAACAGATGTGTACCGAACCTGGTTTCCAGACTGCAACGGTTTCACGTGGTATGGCCCAAAACCAAATAAAAGAACTCCCGCGCCTAGAAAACGTCTGGATTTCTTTCTGGCCAGGGGGTCGCCATGGGATCGCTGTATGGCGTGTGATTTGATCGCTGAGTCTATGTCAGACCACCACCCGGTCATAATGGACGTGCTCTCAAAAGAAGTAATTGACAGACATCGTCCCCCTTTCAAACTGAACGTCAACCTTCTGAAAGACAAGGGTATCGCCCAGTGGGTTTCCTCCCACATGGTAGCGTGGTTAGGGGCTCAAGACTTATTCTCGGACCCTCACCAATGGGCTGATACAGCGATTGGCATAGTTAACGCTGCACTAATGGAATTTTCGAGAATGAAAACGGCCACCCGCACCTGGACGGAACAGTCCATCACGAACCAGATCAAGGAAGCGGAGGAAAGGATGGGGGGTGACCCCTTCTCAGATCACTATTGGTCAGAAAAGAGAAAAGGGGCCTTGGCCCAGCTGGAATCCCTCCAAGTCCAAAAGCAAAATGAATGGTTGGATTGGCTGAGACTCAGGGGCATCATAGGCTATGACAAGATGACAAAACTAACTTTCAGATCCTTGCTTCTCCGCCATTCCAAACCACTCATGAGAGAGTTAGCCCACCCATTGGCCATCAACATTCCGCTGGCAAAAGACACAGTAGAGATGTGCGCCTACGCTCTTGAGTATTTCAGAGACATAGTGTCCACTAGGCGTCCGCTGGACCCTCCAGATTGTGATCTCTCCGAATTTTCTGACTTTTGGGACTCTCCTCTCGGGACCATCGCCCCTGCTACTAGAGAGGAACTTGACCAACCCATGAACGAACATGAGATTCTGTCGGCTGCCCGCCAAATGGCTAAGGGCAAATGTCCAGGCCTCGATGGCATCCCTATCGAACTTATTATAGCCGCCTGGTCATCATTTGCCCCTTTCCTATGTGAGATATATAACAGGGTCCTCACATCTGGCTCTTTCCCACCTAACTTTACCCTGGGGATGATCTCCCTGCTGTATAAAAAAGGTGACAAGAGGGAGGTTCGCAATTGGAGACCTATCTCCGTCCTCAATGTCACTTACAAACTCTTCGCCAAGACCTTAGCGCTTAGATTAGCCAAGTTCCTCCCTGATTTGATAGGCTGGGAACAGGGCGCCTTTGTGAAAGGTAGATCTATTTTCGACAATATCTTAGTCACAGTTCAGGCCCTAGAAATCATAGGCAAGGAAAAAAGAGAAGTGGCGCTACTATTGCTTGATATGGAGAAGGCGTATGACAAGGTGGGCTGGGGTTTCGTCCATACAACGTTGAGAAACATGGGCTTTGGTCCTGGTTTCCGCAAATGGATTGAAGCCAGCTACAGTCAGGCCTCTTCAGTTGTAGTAGTCAACGGTGGGCTTTCGGACAGTTTTAGACTTACTCGCTCACTGAGGCAGGGATGTCCCCTGGCCCCACTATTGTTTGTATTACAGCTAGAAGTTCTGCTAAAGGAACGATCTGATTAGGGGCTTGAGTCTCTCCCCAACTCTACAGTGGAAGGGGGGAGCCATCGCCGACGACCTTACGCTAGCATGTGAAAATAAACCCGAGTCTCTTACTGAATTACGCAAAGTTATAGACACATACTGCTCCCTCTCAGAAGCATCCATAAACTGGGATACGTCTGTTTACCTCCTCCCCCCCCCTCAAACGTTATGTGTGGATTGGGGCCTACGCAACATTCCAGCTAACTCGTCGGGACGTTTTTTGGGGGTCCAAGTGTCGCTCAATGATTGCACAGATATTCAGGATGCTCTCCTGGCCGAGAAGGTTTCAGCGAGGATCTCCGGTTGGATCCGTTCCCACAAACTCTCCCTCTACGGAAGGGCAATGGTGATTTCAGCAGCTGCCTTCTCGCTGCTGTGGTACCCGCTTTCAGTCCACATGTTGGGAGCAAGTGCATACTCCAGATTCCAGAATCAAGAAAGTGGCGTCCAGATACCTATGGAAACCGTCGGCCACAGAACTTCAAGGCTTCATCCCCAAAGTGGCCTGGGAGACGGTTGCCACAGCAAGGGACATGGGGGGACTAGGAATTCTAGACCCCCTCCATCAGAACTTGGCACTTCTCTGATAATGGGTAGTATCGGGCACTTGGGGTAACAGAAATCGGCCTTGGGTCAACTTTGCTGAGTACATCCTCACGAAGGAATGGAATGTTTCCAAGTCTGTGGATGTCTGGCGCTGTATGTTCATCCCCTCCTTCATTCACCGTCGCCCTAAGTCTAGGCTGTGGAAAAGCATCCTATCCGCGTGGTATAAACTTTTTCCCAACGAGAGACGACCCCCTTCCACTAAGCTAGAATGCTTAAACCAATTCCTATTTGAGAACCCCCTTATCGTTCAAGAAGACAGGGTCCCGTTCTCTGCTATGGGAAAAAAGGGCAGTTTTGGGAAAGCTTGGGTGGAAAAGGGATTCATTCAAATCAAGGATCTTCGGGACCCTGTCATGGATGGATGGATTGATGTACAAACTCTGCGCAAGGCCTTATCACGATGTCACAACGTCGAAGCCAACTATGAAAACCTGAAGAAAGCAGTCCCAGACTACTGGCTGAACATAGCCAGAAACTCTGATGAAGCATCTGCAGGGGCCTGGCTCAAAGACCCCGACTGCCAGGACCAATTTCTACATGTATTGGGCCCTGAGTTACCTCAGGGGGTGAAGGTCCAGGTATGGTCGGCCCCCCCCTGTCAAGGGAAGGCGCGCATCCTAATACATAACGGAGAGAAAGTCCTCCAGTCCACCGGAGGATACACAGAGAGCAGAGTCTGGTGCCCAGACCCAGCCCCATCCCCAACCACCAAGGTCTTATTACTTTTCGAGGATGCCGCTGCCATTCAAGTGGAACCCACCCATTTCGGTTGGAAAGGCCTATCCTCCCCCACTTCTTATGTCCCGGCCTATCAATATAAGGCCAAGTGGGGAGTCGGGGTGTGCAGGTCCGGGATAAAGAAGCAAGCGGTTGTGACAGCCTCGGGACCCCAGCTGGAAGCAGGCTTCGAGCTGGGGTCCCTGGATCTCCGCAGCCTGTGGTGGAATTTAAAGTGTCTTCCCTCTCAGAAGCAGGCAAGTTTAATGTGGATTCAATCGATGCTGGTCACCCCCTCTGCTTCTTGGCTAGTCTCCAAAGGGATGAACATTGCAGAACTCTGCACTAGGTGCTCCTGGGGCTGGGAAACAACCAACCACCTCTGGCTCTACTGCCCGTTCGCACATCAGGTCTGGGATTGGTGGCGCCAGCATTGGGAGTCACTGACGAATGGGGAATTCCGGTGGTCCCAGGAATGGACCTTGTACGGTAAAACTCAACAAGAGACTAACCTCTCATCTGGGTGGGGATACGTGGCCCTCGCCTGCAGAGGGGCTCTGTTGGAAACAATATGGTTGGCCAGAAACAGTGCGACCTTTAAGGGTGAGCCGGTCTCGTTGCAAAGCCAGCAAGCCCAGATCAAGTACTTAGTCCGCCTGTCCATCAGAGCTGACTGGCTCGCTGTCAAGACTCACTCAAGAAAGAACCTTGGCTGGTTCAGGCAAACGTGGGCCAGGAACGGAAAACTGACCTCAATATCGGCAGAAAACAAGTTGGAAATCTGTACATGGCTCCAGGCTACTTAGTGAGGTTTCTAGGGTCGATCTCAGGCCCGTGGTTTTCTTACGAGACGTGACAGAAAACGAAGCCTAGGCAAAACACATGCCTAACCATAGGCGTGTTAGTTTGTAAAGAGTACGATGAAAGCTGGCAGAATAGGAAATGGGTAAGTTTTTCTTCCGTAGAACTGATGACCTGTAGCAGGGCAGATAACGGCAGGACAGGCTCTTAGTTCTTTTCTTTTAATGGTATGGTAGTGAGGTTTTTTTACCTCAAAAACAGAATTGCAATATTTGATCCGGATTTGTTTCCTAGACTAAGAGTACGTAGAATAGGAGAGGGTTGACGGAGGCTTCGACTAGGACCTCGAGCATTGGAATTGTGAGATAGGCWTTGTTCTCAGATTAATCGYTTGTATGGGGAGGCTCGGCCTCAAGYACAGAATTACACTGTATAGTGCTGGTTGAATTCCGGGTCGGCACCAGAATAGGAAGGATGGCTGTTGGTTGGGTGCTTCTCYGGTTGTTATTTGTAATCTAGCTTTGTGTTAATTGTGTAGCRGCAGATCGTTGATCTTTGGCGGATTCAGTTGCCTAGGGGGCTGGGTTAATCCTTCCTGCTAGGGGAAGCAATCAATGCTCAGTGCCTATAATATGCTTTAGCTGTAGGAAAGCTGTCTCTACGAGAGCAGTGGCCGAGGCTCTTCCAGCCCGAATGGGAAGAGGCGTGTGTTTCGTGTTGTATTTATTTGTGAATTTGAGCCTTGGGCACTGGGCCCCGTTTAAGGGAAAAAAAAAAAAAAAAAAAGGCATTTCAATACCAGGCACAGGGAGTGACAATGACGCGGACATTTACTAAACAACTGTCAGTGATCAATCAGTTTTTTTTTTTTTTAAACCTTTGCTTGGTGGCCGGGGACCTCACAATTCAACCGGATTGCTGAAAAACAGGTCCAGCATCCTATCCTTTTTTTTTTTTTTTTTTTTTTTTTTTGATACAGTATGATGCATAGAAGAAAAAACTGGATGGTGTCTAGAGGGTGCCTGCCAGCATTGATTGCTCTGGAAATCAGAGGATTGTATCTTGTTTTTTTACCTCACAAGTCAACCCGGATTCAGCAGGCAGCCCATCAGGCTGAGAAGGTCTGAGGTCCCTCGTGAGCTCGTAAGGGCACTGAGCAGCAGAACGCATAAGGCTATCAGAAAGCTATCATAATGTCATTGAATCTAAAAAGGGCGCCGGACGTGATTTTCGTCCGTCATATGCAGAGATGCTAGAATTACTAGAAGTTTTTTTTTTTTTTTTTTTTTTTTTTTGGGGGGGGGTCAAGTACGTTGAAGTCACAGGTGCACTTCCGAATGGACAAAAACATCACTCCGTAGGCAGGTTTGTCAAGTCGGAGTGAGTAAAGGCAAGAAAAACAGCTGAAAGGCAACATCCTCGTCGTCCAAGTTCAAATCGGCAAAAAAAACATCATTTTTTTTTTTAATTATTATT